TCTTTTAACTGGGGAGGGATAATCTGGACAAGGAATATTGTCAATTGGCTATAAAAACCTGTTTAATTTTGAGGTGAGAAAGCGGTTGGGTATATTTCAGTGAATAATTTTATAAATCATCCTTTTGTTAACCGAGCTCATCTCTGGTCTTGGTAGCGGATTCAGGATTTTTCATCTGGCAAAGTCTTGAGATTCTGGTTTTTAAACTGTGCCAAAAATTCTTTTGATAACAGTTTTTCTTGAAGTTGTTTAAAGAGATAACTACGAATTTCCATTTACATCACTAAAATTTTTCTTATATTATTATGAAATTAAACAAATTATAAAAAATAAAATATTATTAAATTTTTGGGTGAAAATGTATATTTTTAATAACTAAGTAGTATATATAAATTCATCAAATTATTACAAAAGAGAAAATAACCCTAAATTATTAAAAAGAAAAGTCTGCAGAAAAATTATTAAAACAATAAATGTAAATTCCATGTCAACTATATTTGTGAAATTATCCTTAATAAGAAACTAAGTTAATTGATACTAAATTTTGAACTCTCACTTCAGGGTACCACCTGTGGAATTTTGGCTAATGATTCTTGGATTTTCTTCCCCTCAAATGACAAGTCCACCAACTTTCCTTGCAGAAATTTATCATAAGAGGGCAGGTCCAAATGACCATGCCCGCAGACTCCCATTAATATAACCTTTGCTTCTCCGCTCTCCTTACAGCACAGGGCTTCCCTGATAGTTGCGGCAATGGTATGAGTCGGCTCCGGTGCTGCTATAATTCCCTCGCTCCTTGCAAACTGAATGGCACCTGCATGAAACATATCGCGATTATGTTCATCCTTTTTTCAATTGTAAAGTTAGTTTACAAAAAGTTTACGTCACATATCAGTTAAAGGAGCCATTAATGAAGTTAACCATAATGTTTATCATGTTTTGTGATTGGTACCTTGAAAGCATTCAATCTGTGGAATTGCAATTGCTTCCATGAAACCTAGTTCATAGACATGTGAGATCAAAGGAGCCATTCCATGGTACCGTAAACCACCTGCAGGAGACAAAAAACATGGAGAGAAACATATCAATGAGACCAAAATAGTAATCTTAGATTCTGATCTCAACATAATCATCATTACGGCATGAATCGTGTCAGATGAAATCATGGTCTATGTATGCATCTCATCATG